TGGCGCGCCCCATCCTCATGAGGTTCACACATTCAGCTTCCGCTTTCCTCTTGTTAACCTGTCTGTATGGGGGCCACAGCCTAGAGTCGAGGGGAAATTACTTCTCCTCCACTGCAGGTGGCATTCGGAGGTGGGGCCTTTGGGGGGAATTATGTCCTGGGAGCAGCGCCCTGTGAATGGGATTAGCACCGTGTTAGGAGAGCCTTTGCACATAAGACGAGGTGGGAGCCATCTGTGAGCCAGGAAGATGGCTCTCACCTGAACCCCCCAGGCTGGCATCCTGAGCTTGGACTTCCAGCCCGCATAATCGTCAGAAATAAGTTCTGTTGTTTATAAGCCACCAGTCTGTGGGGTTTTGTTGCAGCTGCCCTGCCTAATACACGGATGTAAGCAGCCCCAGGCATTTTCCAAGATGTGTCCTTTTCTGCAGGAACATGTGAATCCTCACATGTGCACACTTGCACACACACCCCTCAGCTGCTCATAGCCCATCTCAACATCACCTTCGCTGTGAAGCCTTCCCTGATTGCCTGCAGGCGCCATGATCGATCTGGCTCTCTGCTTCCACAATTCCCGTTTCTAACCATGAAGGGAGCCTTGCCCCCATCATATTTGGTTGTACAGGAGTCTGGCTGTCCCGTTTGAGCAATCCTCTGTCTTATTAATCTGCACAGCATCAGCACACCACCTGCACATGTTCATGGCTCAGAAATGTTAGGTGAGTGAGGAATGCAGGACAGGTAAAACTTTTGAAATTGTGGTTTGTCTTTTTAGCAAAGAACTGTATTTTTATCTACTTATTTCTCAGCTACAGGGATTTGCGCATCAGAGAGGCTAAGATTACTTATCCAAGGTCATCTGACTTCCCTGCATCTCAGCTTCATCATAGCAGGTGGGCTAGAGGGCCCTTCTCTGAATAAGCAAGTAAGTGGACAGCAGTGGGGAAATGACCAGAGACATTAAGTTCTACACAAAGTCAGGTTTCCTAAAATCGTGCTGTGGGCTCCTGGCTGGATTATATTGAGGAAGAAAATAACACAAGGAGAGGTGGACGTTCACCATCTCTGGTCATTTCCCTGCTGCTGTCCACTTACCTTGCTGATTCAGAGAAAGGCCCTCCAGCCCACCTGCTACGATGAAGCTGAGATGAAGGGGAGTCAGATGATCTTGGATAAGTAACCTTAGCCTTGACAATGATTCCATGGAGAACAACCTGGATATCATCTTAACAGGAGCATTGGCAAGTCACCCAGATGAACATTGGGGTGGGTTGTGGAATTTATGCGCAAAGGAATGAAAGGGATTTCTTTGAGTAAATTTGAGTCAGCTTGGATGCCATGACCTTCTAGAACTTGTCAGGTCCAAGGGGAGCTTTTCAAAGGCCTGTGGCTTCAGTCTGTAAGTGGCTGTGCAGGTATTTAAGACTGAGCGATGCTAAAGGCATAGTAACACAAGGCCAGGAACTGACCGTCTTTCCCGGAGGGCAGCTTGGTTTTGATCAGAAGTTTTCAAAAGGAGTCGTGAAGTGAGGAAGAGGGAGAAACACAGCCGCCTTCATGTGTCCAGGTGGTCGATGGGGCTCAGAAGTGGCGGCCTCTTTGTGGGGGGCCAGGGGCTTTTCCTGAGGCTTGCCAACAAGCCACCTGATTCGCTGATATTTCCTGATACACAGAAAGAAGAAAGCAAACAAGTTTTCCCAAAGATGCCTTTATTGCTGTCTGGTCAAAGAGGAGAGAATCACTTGTGCACACGCAGGACCCCCACCCACGTCTCTGAGCCTCTGCCCCGCCTGCCTCCCCACCTCTTGGTGTGACCGTTGCCGTGGTCACCCCAGAAGGTGGAAAACAGAGAAAAGACCCGGCATGGTGGAGGGAGTCGAAGGCAAGTTGGATATCTAACAGACTTGGAATTCAGATTTTCAACGGATTAGAGAACTTTCTCTCTCTTCAAAGGAGAGTTTAACGGGGGTGGGGTAAGGCTTTGTATCAGGCGCACAAAGAAAGGGGGGCTGTGACAGGTGGGGCGTTTTCCTGGGAAGCACAGGTCAATGCCTTCTAACAGAACAGCACCATCTTCCCGTGGTGTCCCAGACAATACAGTAACGATGCAGCCCCAGGGAGGAGGAGCAAGTCAACACTGGGTGGACGGCTCGCTAAAACCCGAACTTCTGGGACACTCCCCAAAGCAGACAGGACTGATGGACACACACGTGGAGTCATCACCCGCCCAAGTCACATCTCTGCCAGCCTAGGGGTGTCAAGGCGAGATGTGGCGAAAAACATTTGGATCTTCAACCAAAATTATGTTGCACCTTTCAACACAGGCACAGGCGTTCTGTAGGGTATCTGACTATAGAGGCAGAGGTTCTGAGCAACCAGAGGTTTGTCTCAATGCTGCTGCAGCGCTTACTAGCTCAGAGTGTTTCACGAGCGATTTCTGTGCAAAAGTGATTTTGAATATGAGAGCTAGTTATCCCCTGTAAATACTGGTCAACGACTGGACTCTTGACTCTGTGGGGAGAGGACTCGGGTTCGGACCCTGATCCCGTGTTTCTCCCCTCTCCGAGCACCCAGCCCTCACCCAGAGGCTTGTCCCTCTGTGCACCTGGGCCCCAGGGCTGGGAGGGGCTTCTGGCTGCTACGTGGGAGTGAAGATTCCAATACAGTCAGAAAGATGGAATTTCTGGGAAAGAGCGGTGGGGCGAGGAACACAGACTTTCTGAGAAAGAATGGGGCGGGAGGTCCAGGCACCACAGCCCTCCCAGTGGGGAGGTATGCACGTTTCTCCACAGGAAAGCGGAGGTGTCCAGCCTGCAGGGAGAGGACGGTCCCTCCGAAGACTTTTATTCTCCACCCCCCCCCCACCCCCGGCCCTGTTTCCATCATCCCTGTTACTCTAAGTGTACTGATCAGCAGAAAGAATGGAAAGATTCCTACTTTTCAAGAAACCAGAGCTAATTAAGGGTTAACTGGAGTGGCTTGCTAAAGAAGCAGGTTGAAAGTGGTTAAACTGTGAAACCGTCCCAGGTGGCGTGTAAGGCGACAGCACCTGAGCGTGCATCCACACTCAAGTCCTCTGTGCCCTATGAACTCTGGACTCGGCCCCCACGCCCCACCTGCTCTGGCCCTGCTGATGGTGAACCGCCGGGGGCAAGTCTCCAGGGCTCAGACTCCACTCGGCCCAGGCCACCTGGCGATGAACAGTCCAGAGGACTCGGAATCTGGTCAGAGGCCGGGCGTGGGCATGGAGACCTTGGGCCGGGCAGGAACAGGTGAGCACCAGGCAGACAGGGCGCTGCGCACGCACACGCTGTCTCCTCCGAGCACCCGCACAAGCACACGCCCGACGTCCTCTCCTTCCTGTGCACACACACATGCACCCGCTCAAACACACCTATGGGCACAACCCCAGCCTGCCTTTCTCCTCAGAGAGTACACACACTGCGTGCTACTCGAGCCCACTCCTCCAAGTGCGTGTGTCTGCACGGGCATGCGCACACACACACACTTGACTCCTAGCCTCCGTGTGCACACTCTTGCATCTATCCCCTACCCCTGGCTGTGCACACGTGCAGTGTACACCCATCCCTGGCCCCCGTGTGTATACACACTCATCTGCACACCTTCCACTGTTTCCCAAGTGCCTACGAAATGCATACACACCCCCAGCCCATGACCCCCTAGGTGCATGCACATCCACACACACCAGGCCTCTGTCCCCCATGTGCACACAGGTGCACACGTCCCAATTCCTGTCCCCAGGGTGCACACACATGCACGCACACCCCCATCCCTGTCCCCCGTGTGCGCACACGTGCACACATCCCTGACTCAGCTCCCCCGCGCGCACCGCCGCGTCCTGCACCAGGCCCTCCTCTGCATCCCCAGCCGGCGCGCGCACACACGCGGGCACGCGCCGGAGCGGCTCGTCTTTTCGGAGCGCGGGCCGCCGGGCGGGAGGAGGTGGGGGGAGGGGGAGGGGAGGGGGAGGGGGAGGAGGAGGAGGAGGGAGCCGAAGGCGCGAAAAGGCGCGCAGGCGCGCTGCGGGAGCCGGGCCGCCGCCCACGTCACCGCGCCGCGCACGTCACGCCGCCCGACGCTCGCAGGGTGAGCCCCGCGCCCGGCGCCTCGGCAGGGCAAGGACCCCGGCCGAGCGCCGCCGGGACCGCCGCCCCCCGCCCGCCGCCCGCGGGTGCGCGCCCGCCGCCCGCGCCGCCCGCCCGCCAGGTGCGGCGGGCCGGGGTCCCCAGGGGCGCGCGCCGGGCCCGGACCCGCCGCCCCCGCCCCGCGCCGCGTGCGCCGCCGCGGTCCCCGCGCGCCGGGGCCGCCGCCTGGGCGCCCAGGTGACCCCCGGAGGGGCGCGGGCCGGGGGCCCGGGCGGGGCCTGCGGGCGGCCTCAGGGCGGAGCGGCGCGCGTGTCCGCGCCCGGCGGGGGTCGGGGCGGGGCGGGGCGGGGCCGGGGGCCGGGGGCCGGGGGTCGGGGCGCGGGCCCCACCTGCCCGCCGACTGCCGGTTCCGGCGCGCGGGGGGCGCTCGCGGGAGGCGGCCGCGGCCTAGTGGCAGGCCGGAGGCTGGGGGCCCCACAAGCCCACCTGTCAGAGTTACCGGTCGGCCGGTGGTCGCGGGTGGGCCGGGGGCGTCCACGGCTAGCGCGTGCGCGCGGGGCCGCTCCGGGTCGGGGCTTGGGCCGCGGTGCCGGGTCTTTGTGCGCCTCGGGGAGGCCGGCGGTCAGCCGGGTGGTGGACGCTTCCCTGCCTGAGATGACTTTAAAGTCCCCGGGTGGGGGGCGTTTCTGGGCTGCACCCCCGGGATGGAGTGTGGGCTTGGAGAGGAAGGGACTCCTGCCACTTAGATGGGTGGTGATGCTGAGGGGACGGTGGTGTTGTCAACTTCTCATTTCAGCCTGGCTTATTCCTCCTCTCTCCTTCTTTTTACCAGGATAACCATTTTTCTTTTCTGGAGGGTGACCATTCCTAGCATCGATTTCACGGATCTGGTAACATGGCAAAAGATGTGAGTATGTGTGTCTGCTTTGTGCTGGACGGATGCTGCCCAGCACTGCGTTCCCGGTCACTCCCCACCTTGTTTCAGAATGACCACACATAAACTGCGGGCGTGTTGGTGTTCAGACCTTTCAAGCAAAGAAACAAAGTAAAGGTGAGGAGGCGGGGACAGCCGGTGGCGCTGTGCGCGGCCTGGGCGATGCTGGCCTCCGTCTGGGCCGGGCAGGCCTGAGCTGTGGCGAGCTGCGTCTCGAGGCTGGGCACCGCCACGTTCCTTGGTCTCTTGGAGGCTGGCTGACTTGTAAATCAGTCGGGGCTCTGTGGGAGGACACCCTGCTTGCGGAGGCGCTGGGCTGGCGGAGCCTCCCTGAGCACCTGCTTTGTGAGCCTCCTGGGAAGTTAGTTCAGCTCTCAGCCATGGAAGCGCTCAGCACTGGACTTGGCAACTGTTTTTCTCAGAAAAAAATGAAATTCGGTGATAAACAAAATGTGAACAATTCTGCTTTGTTTACATTTGTCACGAAGCCATAGAATATTGTGAGTAAACTTTTTCACTTTTTGCAAGAAATAGAGGCTGTTCGGCCTCCACGCAAACCTGCTTTCATGGGCCGTGGGGCTCTGTCCCAGCCCCGGCAGCGTCAGTTAAATTCCCTGAGGCCCCAGCGCTGTCTGTCAGCGTTTCTTGGAACACGCTATTCTGCGAGCGTCAGGGGAGAGAGGCTGTTTGCTTATTTACTCGTCAGTTGCATGGAGTTGGAAATACAGCCCGAGGCACAGCGTGTCCGTGTCTGTGGGTCAGAATAGCACACTTGGAGTCCTCTCGTGGGGGTGAGCTCGGCATCCCGGGTGGCGTGTCTGTGGCGAGTGTCGTCATCTCTGTGTGCTGGGGGGTGACTTATCGCCTGCCTTGCTGTGTGAACCCCCGAGGGTTCTGACTGCTCCACGGGGCCTGGGGGGTGTCAGGGCGGATGGTTGTCGCCCAGCGGCCTTGTCCTCGGTCCCTCCTGGAGACGCAGCCTCACGGCGCGCAGGCGGCGGTGGTGGGTGGGGTAGGAGGTGTCTCTGGAGCAGGTGGTAGCGGCCTGAGAGTGGGGTACAGGCGAGGCGGCCTCGCCTGTGCTGAGCCGAGCCGTCCCGTGTGCTGGAGCCACGTCTCACCCGGGCGGCTGGTCGGCGGCTGGCGGCTGGGCTGCGCTCCTGCCGTCCGTGTCTAAGGCCCGTGTGACGTGTGAGTCTGGGAAGGAAGATGACTCTGCAGCCAAGCGCTGACTTAGGTTCCGGGGCTTCACTGTGGTCTCGGATGTAAGTCGAAGCCCCTTGAGGTGAAGTAGGTGGGCTGGGACGCCAGTCCACGGGGGCAGAGCTCTGGGGGCTCCGTGGGGGCTGTTGGGGCCTGGGGGGCTGGAGCTGATGCTCGGGGGTCCCAGCGGAGGAGGTGGAGGGGTTGGGGAGGGGCGGTGTTGGGCATCCCTGTGGGGTGGGCAGGTCTCCCCGGCTGAGTTCCCCTGGGGAGCTGGAGATGCTCCCCGCCCTGTTCCAGGCATCGGGCTCAGAACCCTGCACCTCCAAACCGCGGGCCCCGAGCGCCGTCTGCCTTGCTCGGGCTGTGGCGTCTGCAGGGGTGGTGGCGGCAGGGTGGGCCCTTCCCTGAACCCAGAGGGTAGGGTGGGGGCTGTGCTTGTGCTCTGAGCCGCTGCCTGTCCTGCGCTTCTGTTTCTAGCGCACAGAAAGTTGTAAGTTTCTGTTGTTTACAGAGACGTGTGGACAAGACACTGTCATTCCCTTGTTTAACCGTTTCCTGTGATAAGGGACAAAGCCTGATGCCTCAGGGTTTGTTCCCACGTCCCCTTTGAAGAGTGGGCTTGGCGCCGTCCTTCGCTCCCTGCCCTGTCGTTGCCCCTGGGCCCTTGGCCCTGGTTTGTGGGACTCACCTTGGAGCTTGGGGACTTTCATGTGCACCTGGGGTATTTCCAGGAATCTTGCAGTGAGACCCCCAGGTCAGCGAGGCCTGTGGGTGGGAGACTGTGGCATTGGGGGCGCTGTCCAGGGGTGCCTGTTCCCTCCCCCATGGGAGCCTGTTGCCCTGGTGAGTGATCATGTGGTTCATTGGTTTCTGATTTACAGAACTGGGTGTCTGCAGGTTTTATTTTGTGCCTCGGGTCTTGTGACAAGATCCTGATCAGGGGGTTTTCAATGTGTGGGACGCTCCTGGGGTGGAAATGCAGGCATGGATTTCCATCTGACAGTGGAAACTGTCACTATCAGATACATCTTGTACTGAACGCTGTAGTCGTGTGATGTACGGGGGGACGGCGTCTGACATGTCCCGAGCGTGTGCGTGTATGTGTGTGCAGGTGTGTGAGTGCAGATAGGTGCCGAGTGTGTACATGTGTGTGCTGAGCATGTGTGAGCATGTGTGCACGTCCGTGTGTGACAAGAGTATGCGCGTGTATGTGTGTGCTGAGCCTGTGTACAATATGTGCACACATGCTAATCGTGTCACGTGTGTGCTGGGCCTGTGCTGTGTGTACACATGTGTTGGGCGTGTACGCGTGTGTGCTAAGAGTGTGTGTACGCGTGTGTGCCAAGTGTGTGTGTGGTCAAGCATGTTGGGCATGTGTGTGTGTGCTGAGCGTGCATGTGCTCGTGTGCTGATTACATGTGCATGTGATTACCGTGTAACGTGTGTATGTGTGTGTGCTCACGTGTGTGCTGGGTGTGTGCGTGTGTGTGCCGAGCGTGTGGTGCCCACGTGCCCCTGCCTGAGCTCTCCAGTCTGTGGCCCCATGAGCAACTGGGAGCTCTTGGCCTCTGGAAGACTGTGGTTATAAAGGGCCTGCGGAGTGGCTCTGGTTGTTCTGGAACTGGGCGGAGGGCCATCGGGGAGCCCACGACAGCCCCCGACTCTCAGGGAAGGAGGGTGCAGGGCCGCCATCCCCTGGGAGGACCCGTCCTCATCCTCGTCCAGTGTCACGCAGGTCCGCGATGAGCAGGGGCGGTTGCCGTGTGGAGTCACAGTCCTGCTTTTGCGCGGATGCTCCAGGACCCTCACGCACCTCCTTCTCCCTGGGCTGTGGGAGAGCCCGGCTCAGCCCCGAGCTGGCCTGTGGTCGTGGCCGTAGCTGCTCTGTGGTTGCACATGGTGTTCCAAGTTCACGGCACCATTCCTGGATCATGCTGTTGAGGGCAGGAAACCCAAAGAAACTGTCGAGCCTGAGCTCCCAGGGTTTGGTTTAGGGAGCAACACGTCCTACGTGTTGCTTTCCAGTGGCCAGGGCAGCGGGCACCTGCTTGGTCCCCAGGCCTCGCCGGGGCGAGCCAGCCGGGCGCTGGGGGGGGCGGCCCTTTTCTTCCCGCCCGAGGTCCGAGCGAGAGCGCCCAGCCTGCTCCACTGAGCAGCGAGGCAGCACTGCTGTGCTTGTTCTTACGACGGGTTTTTGTATTTGAGTTAACTTCTCCACACGAGATAAAATTGGAGAAACTCTGAGATGGTACGAACAGCAGAAAGTCACAGCTTAGCTACGCGTGCGGCCCTGGGGTGCCCGGTGTGTTGCACCTGGTGCTGCCCGTGTCCCGAGCGTTGGGCGCTGCCCGGCCCCATCCCTGGGCCGAGGGCGTCCCCAGGGCTTTGGGGGGACCCAGCCTGGCACAGTGTGACCCCGGGGGCTCTTCTCTGCACGCAGTCACCTTGTTAAAGCTGTTCTTTCTGCGGTTGAATGAGTCTCACTTTTCTCCAGCATAGAATGAGTGGATGGCTCTTGCTCAGATGCCAGGCCTGGCTTCTGTCTCTGCGGTTTTGTGCTGTTTGTTAGGTGGGGCTGGGCTGGGGGCACAGCCCTGGGGTCACTGCCGGTGTGAGGGCCAGGCCTCTGGGGGTGGTGCTGCCCCGGCCCAGGTGGGACGGGGACTCCCCGCGGCTCCTCTCCTCCGTCAGCCGCCCGCCCGCCTCTCTCATTTGCGCTCAGGACTGTCTTGTCGGAGTCCTGTTTACCCAGGATCCAGTTTTAAAGGGGATTCTGGTTTGATGCAGCAAACCCCGTCCTTCCGCCGGGCTCGCAAACACAGCACCTCTGACACCCGTGTCCTGGGTCCTGTCTGCCAGGCGTGTGCTGCCCAGGGCGTGGGCTGGGGCCAGGGAGCAGCGCTGGACAGACCTCGGGGGACCTCTGCCTGCAGCCCAGGGGCGGAGGCTGACCCCCTGGGCCTCCCAGCCCCAGAGACAGGAGAGCCAGCCCCTCAGGTCCGATGCCTGGGCCTCCCTGCCCCGGAGACAGGAGAGCCAGCCCCTCAGGCCGACCTCCTGGGCCTCCCTGCCCTGGAGACGGGAAAGCCGTCTGGGTGTGCCGTGTGGGTGTGCCGGCCCCTCCGGAGGACCCTGCCACGGACTCGCTGCCGGGGCTGGCGACGCGTCCCCTCCTCAGCGGGAAGAGTACTGTGCTGGTTGGCGGTGCCGCCCCAGCAGGCTCTTCTGTCTCAGACCTCGGGTTTTCCATTTAGCAAAACTTCCACGAGGAGCAAACGTGAGCTACTTAAACAGTTCAAGGAGCATTCCTTGTGGCTGTAAACGTGATGGGAGTTGTACCTGAATTGGAAAACCCAGGAAAGTGGGAGAAAGCAGTCATCTGCCGGCCTGTGTCTCAGAGGAATCGCTGGGAGCTTGTGCTGTCCGTCTTGGGGTGGACGTGTCACTCGTGACGGTGTGTCCCCGCGTGTGGGCGCCCGAGCCGCCGCTTCATGGCCCCGCGCTGCCGCTGCTCTGGAATCACTCGTGTTTCTACTATCTCATTTTTAGCAGCTGCTTGTTTATTTGATCTGTTGGGGAATCATAGGTGGTCAGTTATGAAAAGTGAGCTAAGATGGGAAATAATAAAAAAATGAGACCTTCTCCCTAAGCTCCTCTTGCAAAACTGAAGCACGTGTGTGTGCCCCGGGCCCCTGGTGTGGAGCACAAGCCCTTTTTTGGTGAGCAGGTCCGCACATGTGCTTTTGTTGCATAAACTGTGGCCCACGATGCCAGCTTTGATTTCTGTAGGGTGGAGAACATTTGAAGACCCTGAATGCAACCTTATAGATTGTTTGCAGTTTTCCCCAGGCTTTCAAAAACAGATATAGGCAGCACGAGTGGGCGTTTAGAAGTGAAACCGTTGAGTGGTGGCCTGAGGCGCCAGTCTCGTGCGAGTCCCGAAAGGGTGGGTTAACTCGCCACGTCCCCTCTGCTGTTTCCCCCAAGGCCCGGCCACAGTAGAGGGATCTGGTGGTTTCCAGTTAAATCTCACATTGGCACAAATCCACAATAACCCACTCTGGGTCCTCAGTGGAGTAACTGCACATGGACACACGTGGGCACCTGCACACGTGTGCACTGTGTCTGAAACACTCTTAGACGACTTCCCCAGATGGGCGTGCCGGTCACACCTGCTTCCACCCATTTTAACGCCCCGTTTTCTGCACCAAATTTGATGATAACTTAAAAACCCACAAGCTCGCGCTGCCCGACGGGTTAAGTTTTAAGTTGCTTTCAGTTTTAGTTTGCATCTTTGGTTTGGAGGCTGGATGTGTCTCTCTGTGAACTGAACGTTCCCCCCCGCCCCCCCAGCTGTGTCCTCCATCAGGCAGTGGCTTCCTCTTGATTTGCACCCCAGGAATTAAGGACGTTCATGTGATGTTTGTCATCCTTCAGCATGAGGGACAAGTGCAGCGTCATTTCGGGCTAACTCCCGGAGAGCATGCCTGAGTTCATAGCAGGCATTGGGCGTTGTGAGCAGGCGGCCTTCAGGTGTCTGCGCGCCCCCCCACCCCTCCGTCCTGGTGCAGCAAGGCCGAGGCGTGTCCAGGTCCGCGCAGCCCCATGATGCCCAGCCCTGTGCTTGCTGGGCTAGACTTAAGGAGCTGGCAGGGGTCTTCTCTTTCTGTTGTCTCATTTGCTTTTCAGAAAGATCAGGGTTCGAGTGAAAATGTCTTGTGCTAAACCAACGGCATCTAAATTGGGCCAGAGCTCTGGGGGTGAAGCCCTGCTCGTGCCGCTGGGGGCCCAGGCAGCAAGGTTGGGGTGCAGCAGGGGGCCCGCCCCGTCTCCCTCTGTGTCCCCTGCCCCCCAGCCCTGGCTGCCGAGCCGGCACACCTGTGGGTGGTGGGCGCGGGCCCTCGAGGGCAGGAGGCTGGGGGCACAGCTGGGGGGACGTGGTCCATCCCTGCGTCAGGACCGCCCGCGTGTCCGGCGCTCTGATCGAGCCAGAGCCCTGTGGTCAGGCCAGAGCGCCAGTCTGCTCTCCCCGCGGTCCGCCCGCGGTCCCCCTCGCCAACCTCAGACAGGATTGGTAAAAGGACGTGCAGTTCGGTGATAAGAGCAGTACTGCGTTGTCCCCAGGGCCAAACTTAAAGGCAGAAACAGTCATTTTCCCGCGGGTGACGCAGCTGATCATGGCGGGTGACCCCGCGCCCCTAGCCAGCAGCTCAGCCCTGACGCCACCTCATTGTGTTGTTGTCCCTGCAGGCCGGTCTAATTGAAGCCAACGGGGAACTCAAGGTCTTCATAGACCAGAACCTCAGTCCTGGGAAAGGTAAGGGCGCCCGTGCATCTGTGTCCCCGATGCCCCGGGGGCCCGGGCCCAGCATCTGCCTGGCTTGTAAGTCGCTTGCTGTTTGCAGAGAGCCAGGGGAAGTGGAAGCGAGCAAGAACATGAGCACAGCACGGGGCACGCGCTTTCCTCCCGCCCCGGGCAGCCCTGCGCACCCTGCCGGGACCCCCTTGAATGTGGGCGCCGGGACCCCCGGCACGTGAGGGCAGTGGGGGCTCCGCGTGGACGCGTGCCCACTGCTGCGTTCTCGGAGTGGGAAGGTGTCTGTCCCCTTGACTCTATGTCCGGGTGTCCAAGTGTGGGGGGCAGTGTCCTTGTGATCACTTCTCCTGGGCAAGAATGTGCTGCTGCAGGTGGAGCAGCCTGTGAGTCTGCGTCCATCTGCAGACGTGTGGGGAGGTGTCCGGCTGCGCTCAGTCCTAACTGAAGTTCTCTGAGAATCAGAGCTGTGAGCGTCGGGTCCTGTGGTCCCCCCCAGAAACATTTCGTTGGCAGGACAGGCAGCTCATGGGGTTTGGGCAGGTTGAGGGCAGCCTGGGTGCAGCGGAGCCCTGAGCCCTGTATGCAAGGGCCTGGTGTGCCTTGGGGCTGGTGGTTGGGAGAGGGCGGTGTGGGCACACCCCCCAGGTTTGGGAGTCAGGCTCAGCCGAGGTGCCTGCAGCCCCCCATGGGTCTGACGTGGTCCAGGGCAGGAGGCCCGCCCTAGCAGCGGTCAGCCTGGTGCCTTGAGCCCTGGCACAGGGCCACTGCGAGGTCGCCCCTTGCATTGCAGGCGTGGTGTCCTTGGTTGCCGTCCACCCCTCCGCAGTGAACTCTCTCGGGAAGCAGCTCCTGCCAAAGACCTTTGGACAGTCCAACGTCAACATCGCTCAGCAAGTGGTAAGACCGGGAGGCTCGCCATCCAAGGCCCATGGTCTCCGGGGTGCGGGGCCAGTGCCAGGCACCCCCTCCCCCGGCTCGACGCTGCCTGCCCGCGGCTTCCCGGCCACTCCTGCCTCTGCCCTCATGGGGTCTGCTGGGGCGGTGCGTGCGCTTGGGTGGAGCGGGCTGAGTGGGTAGGGTGGTACTCTCCGTGGCCGGGGCTTGCTGCCTGCCCAGGACTCGACGCTGGAGTCTGGGCCGACCTCTCGTGGGCTCGGGGCTCTGCGGATGCGGGCTGCGACTCCCCCGGCTTTCCTGGCTGACGGGAGGGGTCAGACTCCCAGGGCCTTGCCCAGCGCCCCCCGGGGAGCCCCCACCAGGTCCTGCCCGCGGGCTGGGCAGCCTCTCCCTGAGGTGACCTGTGGCCGTGAGGGGAGGGGCATTCGCGGCCCACCCGCGCCCCCGGCCCAGCCCCTGGCTCTCAGCCCCTTCGTGTCGGTGACCACATTGCCTCAGCAGCTTTGCTGCGATGCTCCAAGTCCATAGTACACGGAGGCCTGGGCCTTCCTGGAACATCACAGATACTCAATAAATGTCTTTCTGATGGAAGTTATAATTCATATTATTTTATTTTATAGGCACTGTGTGTTGTGTCCTAGCAGAGTCACGGCTGAGTGTAGCTCGGTGAGCGTAGGCACGGTTCTGTTGTGTCCAGTTTAAATAGCGGGGAGCCAGAGTTACACGGAGATTGCTGTTGGTGCTCTCCCAACCTTCAGCTCCTTAGCGGACGCTCCCCCGCGGCTTCGCAGAGCCGGCTCAGGGCCGAGCTAGTCAGGCGGTGCCTTCTTCCCTGCATCCTGGTGCCTCTCCAGTTGCGCAGACAGAGGCTGAGCGCAGAGAGCTGGGGGTTCTCACCAGAGGTCAGTTGGCGGAGAGCAGTGGAAATTGGGGCATGAGGGCGGGATGAGCACCGCAGGGTCCTCTGTGAGGCTGAGGTGCCAGCCGCAGGCGTGGGGTGCCCTGCCCACCCCCGTGTCCCTCAGCGTCCAGGACGGCCACCTTCACGGGGTGCCCTGCCCACCCCCACGTCCCGCGGCGTCCAGGACGGCCACCTTCACGGGGTGCCCTGCCCACCCCCACGTCCCGCGGCGTCCAGGACGGCCACCTTCACGGGGTGCCCTGCCCACCCCCACGTCCCGCGGCGTCCAGGACGGCCACCTTCACGGGGTGCCCTGCCCACCCCAGTATCCCGTGGCATCCAGGACGGCCACCATGTGAGTGGGCAGCTGGTGGGCGCCTGTTCTGCCCACAGAGCAGCCGTGGCTGAGGGGGGTGTTCTCCAGGCGGGTGGGGAGCAGGCGCTGTTGGGGGTGCAGGGCCCGAGGTGAGGGGTCGGCAGCAGCCTGGCCGCGGGCAGGGCCGCTGTTCGGAGCCTGTTCTGAGCGCTGGAAGGACGGCTCTCGAGGGGATGAGCCGTGACCCAGGGCCCCCTCAGCACTCACTTGCAAGGCCTCAGCTCTGGGGATTTGCGCCTTCCACCCTGGTTCGCTTTCTGGGACACGTGTGCCGTTTGATCATTTTCTGGAACATGCACTGTTTGATTTCATCTTTCTTGAATGAGAGTGAAATACTGATGATGCATTGATCGCTGGGAACGTGGATTAAGAGACTGGAACTCAGCTGAGCTGTTTTCCTTTCCATGGTTTGTGGATCGTTGATATTCCTAGGTGACCTGGGCTTAGGGGTAATTTGCAAAGTGCCAGGTCAGCTGTGTCAGGGCTGCGGCAGGGAGCTCTTATCCTGCTAAGCAGCGGACTAGCGGGGGCATCCGGCTTAAAATAGCACAGCCGTGGCCCGCTCTCCACCCCCAGTGCCGGGGGCCTGGGGCTCCCATGCTAGTCACCGGGAAGCACTGCTTCCAAGTGGTTTCCGGGCTCAGGCACGAGTCTGGGAAGCTGAGCTCCTGCTCGGCTGGACCAGCCAGTGTGTGCACGTCCCCGTGAACGTGGGACTGGAATCCCGAGCGCGTGGGGCCACGGTCAGGGCTTCCGGGCGGGTGTCTGTGCCTGAGCTGTGGGTTCCCGCCTCCGCCCCGGTGGCACTGCCTCCTGCCCCGCCCTGCGTTGGCTGGCGTGCCCAGGGCTCCCTGCATGGGTGGGCGAGCAGTGGGGTCACCACAGTGAGCCCCGCTAGCCCTGGGTTCCTTTCCTCTTTGTCTCTGGGGCCCATTGCTGCCCCAGTGGAGCAGTCTCATCTCCGTCCGGGTCGCGGGGGAAGGGAGTAAAAAGTGGAGTGTGCGGGTCTTTCGGGGTCATCTCCAGCCGCCTGTGTGCAGCAGGTGCGTGGTGGCAGCCGGGGCTCCGCGGGCTCTCTGGCCCCTCCTCCAGCCTCTGCTTAGTGACGCTCAGTGGTGGCCGTAGGTAACAGGAAGTGACGAGGCACAGCGTTGTGCGTGGGAGATTCTGACTGTTCTGAATTGTCTCTTTTGACTGTAGGTAATTGGTACGCCTCAGAGACCTGCAGCGCCAAACACTATCGTGGTAGGAAGCCCACACACCCCTAACACTCACTTTGTCTCCCAGAACCAGCCTTCAGACCCCTCACCTTGGTCTGCCGGGTGAGCACTTGCCGAGAACGCCCCCCACCCAGCCTCTGCGTGCGCGTGGGCACTGGTGCGGCGGAGGAGCGGGCAGTGGCCCCGTGTGGCCTCGAGAGGCCAGGCCGCGGGCAGCCGCCCTGAGCTCTGGGGGTGGTGGCTCCACTGAGGGGTGGGCTCTGGCCTCTATGCGCATTGTCCGTGCTGGAGAGTACCGTTTGTGGAACCCCAGGAAACGGGCGGGTCTTCCAGCCTCTCCCCCCTGCTGCTAAACGTGGCCATGGGCAGCCCCGTGCCGCAGTCACACTGTTGCCTTGATCCTTTCCTCCGAAGGCAAAGTAATGTGAAACAGTTTTACTCAGAGGTCAGCTGTGCGACTCTCTTTAAAGACAAAAAGCTATTGTTGTAAAGCAACAATCATCAGCCCCCGAAACCCCTCAGTGGGGAACCTGGGCGGCCCTTCCCCTGACGTGACAGCTCAGCAGGTCAGGTGCTGGGTCTCCCTCCCGGCTGCCACAGGGCCTCGTCTCAGCTGGGCCACGTTTGCCCCAGATTCTGAAATTTGCAGTAAAACTTCTGTAGCTCTTTACGTCCGATGACGTTTTCTTAAGAAGCACCGTTTAGCATCTGGACACCCGTCCGACTTGTCCCGGGTTCTGCTCTGCTTTTCCCTAGAGTTGGAGAGACACGTGTGGGGCCCAGTCATGTGGAAGTTTGTCTTGCGGCCTTTAAAGGAGTGGGGTCCCTGGACGGGGGACGGAGCCAGGCTCCCACCCCTCCTCTGTTGGGCATGGCCTGCGGGGGCCCCTGGTGGCACGAGCTGGCCCCCAGACATGGGTGTGGATGCGGCCCGCGCTGCGAGCTGAGGCCGCGGCCGCTCTGTGCTGTGCCCGTAGGAAGCGCAACCGGAAAGGAGAGAAGAACGGGAAGGGGCTGCGGCACTTCTCCATGAAGGTGTGTGAGAAGGTGCAGCGCAAGGGGACCACGTCCTACAACGAGGTGGCCGACGAGCTGGTGGCCGAGTTCAGCGCGGCCGACAGCCACATCCTTCCCAGCGAGTCGGTGCGTGCGCCAGGCAGGCTGCCCCCCACGGGTGCGGAGGAGGCCCCGGAACCCTTAGGAGGGACGTTTCCTGACCCACGGTGCCACCATGCTATTGTATCCCCGCTGCATCCGCTCACTCCCGTGGGCCATGCGGGGGCCGCCCTGGGCGGGGGGGCAGCATGTGGCCTCAGGTGTGTCCAGGGTCCCTGCACGTGGTCCTGGGCCGTCTGGAAACCCCCGTGTCTCTGCCAGGCCTACGACCAGAAGAACATCCGGAGGCGTGTGTACGACGCGCTGAACGTGCTCATGGCAATGAACATCATCTCCAAGGAGAAGAAGGAGATCAAGTGGATCGGCCTGCCCACGAATTCTGCCCAGGAGTGCCAGAGCCTGGAGGTAGCCAGCCACCGCCCTGGGGTGCTGGGCGGGCCCTGGGGCGATGGCACAACCATGCTGCTCCCAGTGGTGACCTGGGGTGGGTACACTCTGCATCTTGGCCTGTGGGGGTTTTAGAGAACGTCGTAGCCGCGCCCAGTGGAGGGGAAGCCGGGCGGAGGCGGCCCGGCCCTGAGACAGAGGAGTTGCCGCGTGCCTGGCAGCAGCTGCCTCGTCTGGGCCCCTGTGCCTTCCGGCTCAGGGCCCATGTCTTTGGTGACTGAGTGTTGTCTTGGATTTTAAAATATGTTTCAGAAATGAACCGTGATGGTTTTGTTTTGGTGTTTGGTCTTTGAAGGTGGAGAGACAGAGAAGACTGGAAAGAATAAAACAGAAACAGTCGCAGCTTCAAGAGCTTATCCTGCAGGTAAGGGGCTCCTGCTGGGAGGCCGCTTGGTGGTGCAGGCACCCACCCGCGAGCCCATGGTCTGTCCTCCAGGCTTTTGGTTCTGGGCGTGTTTTCTCTGGTCGGTGGCTCCCTGGGCAGCCACTCTGACCTCTCGGGGGGCCAGTCTTCTTGGTGTTGGCTGGGGCCAGGCAGGGCTGTCGCATATGCCCAGGGAGAGACTAGCTGTTGAGTGGCTGCGGCTATGAGCGTGTGCCAACTGTGCGTCTTTTTTAGCAAATTGCCTTCAAGAACCTGGTGCAGAGGAACCGCCAGGTGGAGCAGCAGGCCAGCCGGCCGCCTCCGCCCAACTCGGTCATCCACCTGCCTTTCATCATCGTCAACACCAGCAAGAAGACGGTCATCGACTGCAGCATCTCCAATGACAAGTAGGCCGCGTGGGCGGGGCCTGCCTGGTGCCGAGCTGCCTGTCTGACAGGTCGCCAGGCGCGGCTCCCAGGGAGCTCACTGGCGGGTTCCCTCCCCCACTGCCTGTGCAGACCCTGGGAAAGGAGGGCGGTGGGGCCCATGAGGACTGCTGTCAGGACGGCAGGTGGCACTGTCCCGGGGGCGTCGCTGCCTCCGATCAGTGGGTTGTGTGTCGGGGAAGGTTTGGGGGCTCGGGGCCCCAAGCCAGGCGTCGCGCTCCGTGCTGGAGACAGTGCTTTTCTGACGGCGACCGTCGCCTCCAGGTTTGAGTACCTGTTCAATTTCGACAACACGTTTGAGATCCACGACGACATCGAGGTGCTGAAGCGCATGGGCATGGCCTGCGGGCTGGAGTCTGGGAGCTGCTCCCCCGAGGACCTGAGGGTGGCCAGGAGCTTGGTGCCGAAAGCACTGGAGCCCTATGTGACCGGTCAGCGGGCTGGGGGGCGCCCACCCGCTGGGGAAGCAGAAGCAAGGGGAGCGGGGGCTGAGGGGTGCGGGGTGCGGCAGGTGCCTGTAGGGTCCTCGGCTGAGCCAGGGGTCCCCGTGTCTGTCCTGTCGCCCCCGGCCAAGCTGGGGGTTCTGGCCAGGGTGGGGCACTCTGGTGAGAGGAGAGGCTGTCCTGTGCCCCTCTGGTGTGGGTTCCCCCATGAGCCTGCGTTGGGTTGGCCTGGGGGCTCCCGAACCCTGCAGGATGTCTGTGAAGCAGCTCCTGCCCGCCGACCCCCCGATGCCAGCAGCTGCCCCACTGACTCCAGCTGCCCACCTGTTCTTGGCGAAGTGGTCACGCCGGGAGGGGCGGGGACCCCGGGAGGAGGGGCGGGGGCGGGGTCACGCCGGGCGGAGAGGCGGAAGGGGCCGTCCCTCCTCGGCCCGCCAGTTTCCTGGAGGCCATCTCGCTTCCTGGGCCTGCAATGCAGTCATCGGCTGCCCTCCGGCGGGGAGCACCAGAGCGGGGCGGCCCGGAGCCGTCGGGCCCGATTCAGCTCGAGTCCTGTGCCCCTCTGCTTCCTGACGTTTGCCTTGTTTCCTTCCTCTTTCCAGAAATGGCTCAGGGATCCCTCGGCGGTGTCTTTGTTGCGTCAGCGGTGTCGACCTCTAATGGCACAAGGCTGTCTGCCAGGTAACTGCGCCCCCAGGAGCCGCGCGCCCACCCTCCCTAGTGGGAGGCCCGGGTCTAGTGTGAGCACCCTCCGTCCTGCTCGGAGCGGGGCTCCCTGCGCAGCGGACATCCCAGGGTCCCAGGGTCTCCGGAGCTCCTCCTCTGGGCAGAGAAGCTGTTTCTCCTGATGAGGTTTTTCCCCTAGTGATCAGTAACGGTAGATGGGTTTTATTTTTTATTAAAGGAACTCAGTTTAGTGGCGGCAAAACCAGCTGAACCACGTGGCTGGTAGCCTGAGTGACAGGCTGTTTCTCCATCTATTTTTTTTCCCTTTTCAACACACTTGAAGTCACAATGTACATGTAGTATTGTTCCTTGCTTTTTCTTATTTTACCGTTTATTGCATGCATTCCTCTGCGTGTTGAAGGAACTTTTATCATTTCAGTCAAAGTGTGTTTGAGCCGTGACCTCACAGGCCCCCAGAGCAGGGCTGGGTCAGGCCTCGGCGTTTCTCCTGGTTTTTTAGAGATAAATGTAAGGTGATTTCAGTGTGAGTATGGACAGAACAGTGGTCTTACATAGTACCATGTTGTGCCTTATACATGTTTATATCAGTCCTGAGCATTAAAGAATGTCTGGTGACATGAAATCAGCAGCGTGTAGGTCCAACAAAACTGGATTGGCTAGTAAACCCTGTGTGCATCTGCCTCGGAGGCTCCGTGGCCCCGGTGCCATGTGGCCTCTGCGTGACCCCAGCTCAGCCTCAGTGTGGCCCAGGGGAGGGGCGGGCTCCCCGTGAGGGTCCCAGCGCCTAGCCTCTCCGGGGTGCCTGCACCTGGTTGCGTTTTTACAGAGGTTGGTTTGGTTTTAAATTCTGAATCTGCCACTGTGCATGGCCCAGTCTGTAAAATATGAACACTGGTTATTCTGGGAGGTGGAATTTGGGTATTTTCTAAACTTTCCTTTTAAAGCAATTCTATTAATGAACTTTCAGGCTCTTGTCAGTGTTTTTAACAAGATGAAAGCCAATACCATTTCGGAAGAAAAACTGACCCTGGGGCCTGGTTACTGAGCCACCCTCTCTGGTCGCGCATTCAGGGGGCTCCTGGCTGCAGGCAGCCACAGTTGCAGCCTCTGTTTTTCGCTCTTTCCGACATGGTCGCCGGATGGGGGTTTCCCAGATGTGGGGTTACTTTGCCAGAGAGCGTGATATGTCCTAGGTTTTGTTGGGCAGCATCAGTGCTGCTGCTGCTGCTGCTGCTGAGTCGCTCAGTCGTGTCTGACTCTGTGCGACCCCATAGATGGCAGCCCACCAGGCTCCCCCGTCCCTGGGATTCTCCAGGGAAGAACACTGGAGTGGGTTGCCATTTCCTTCTCCAGTGCATAAAAGTGAAAGGGGAAAGTGAAGTCGCTCAGTCGTGTCCGACTCCTAGGGACCCCATGGACTGCAGCCTCCCAGGCTCTTCCGTCCATGGGATTCTCCAGGCAAGAGGACTGGAGTGGGATGCCATTGCCTCTCTCCAGGGCAGCATCAGTAAACACCAGTAAAAGGTATTAAGACACACGTGTGTGGTTTTCTCTTAAAAGGAAAACACAGTGTTGGAAGACCGTGTGCACACCTGTGAATGCGCACACGCGCATCACGCCCCACTCCTTTCCTCCCCGGAGGTCATGGTGGTCCTGATGGGGGCTTCGGAGGAGGGTCTCGGGGTCTCGGTTGGTGCTCCGGGGCTTCTGTTCCCGCCTCGGTGAGAAACAGGAGCCCGCCCGCGCTGCTCACCCCGTCATGCTGGGGGAGGGTGACGGTGAGCTCAGCCTGGGAGAGGCGGGTTCCGTGCCGCTGGGCGTGCGGCCCCTGACGCCCCTGTCCTTGTAGCGACCTGGCCAACGGCGCGGACGGGGCGCTGGCCACGAGCTCCAGCGGGTCGCAGTATAGCGGGTCCCGGGTGGAGACGCCGGTGTCGTGCGTCGGTGAGGACGACGAGGACGACGAGGACTTCAACGAGAACGAAGAGGAGGACTGAGCCGGCCGCCCGCGGCCGGCAGCGCGCGCCGGGGAGAGACCTCCGTCCCGCCGTCCTCCTCCCAGAAGAGCTCAGCGACCCCCGGGCTCAGGGCGCTTCTGACAAGCCACCCGCCGTGCTCCGGGGGGTCCCGACACCGACGCACGACCTCTACTCTTTCGGATTTTGTGTTTTCGTTTGCTGTTTTTTAAGTTCGGAGTTCACTTCGCCCCCTCACAGTTCGCTGAGTTTGCTGGAGAAGTTGTGCGGCCCCCATGCCGTCCAGCGGGCCCAGCGCAGCGCCCTGGGGGCACTGTGGGCACGGCAGATGCCCGGCTCTGCCTCTTGATGTTTTATTATGACTTTGTCTCCCTTAAATTATATTGACTGCGTGACGCCATCTGGTTTACACTTTGGTTTTGCTCTGTGTTGCAGCAAATGGATTTGCAAGGTCCCTTTTTGTTTTTGTTTTGTTTGGTAAAAGTTTACTGCCATGCTGGTGCAGCTATGGAAACTGAAGCTTGGAAGGGTTTATTGCTTATTTTAAAATTTGCCTGATTTCTTACAGGCAGCGTTTGGAAACTTTTTATTATATAGTTGTTTACATACTTATAAGTCTATCATTTAAAGACATGTACTGAAACAAATGTTGTATTTGTTTCGTAAGCATCTTCCTGTAATCTATTATAAAGTTGAAATTAAATATAGAGAATGTTTTAACAGTTTTTTAACTCAAAATTTGTCAATCATTTTTAATAGTTCTTTTTTTATAAAAAGAAAAAAGAATTTCGGGACAGGCAGTAGTCGCTTTTAAAATTTATTCACCAAGAACCATTAACTGCACAGTTGATATTAGCTGCCTGTTCTAAAATAATAGTCTTTTTATTGGAACACAAACTTTTCTGTAATATTTTGTGGAATAAAGAGACTTTAATTGTTTGACTTGTTTAACTTGGCACTGTTAGTTTTTATTAATAAAGTGCGCATGGGCATTTTAAACAAGCCGTGTGTCCCTGTGATTCGGGATGCTCTCTGGAGCTCACCACCACCAGGACCTTTTCTGCAGGGAGGAGCGGGTGCCAGCCCTGCGGTAGATACAGGACCCGCCGTGCGCGGCCCCGGCCTGCCCTGCGGTAGGTATAGGACCCACCGGGGTCCCAGGGGTGGGCAGGGAAGGTGGTCCTGTGGACATGGCCGACGTGGCACCTCCCCTCTGCGGCTGGTGGCGGGGAGAGCGTCTGTTCCCTGTCCTGTTTTTGGAAGAACCGTACTCATCAGCTTGGGGCTTCCTAGGAGGCTCAGTGGTAAAGAATCTGCCTTCAATGAGGAGACATGGGTTCCATCCATGGGTCAGGAAGATCCCCTGGAGGATGAAATGGCAACCCACTCCAGTATTCTTGCCTGGAGAATTCCATGGACAGGGGAGCCTGATGGGCTGCAGTCCATGGGGTTGCAAAAAGTCAGACATGGCCTGAATATAATCAGTCCTGAATATTCATCGGAAGGACTGATGCTGAAGCTGAAGCTCCAATACTTTGGCCACCTGATGTGAAGAATGGACTCATTTGAAAAGACCCTGATGCTGGGAAAGACTGAAGGCAGGAGGAGAAGGGGACGACAGAGGATGAGACGGTTGGATGGCATCACCAACTTGATGGACATGAGTTTGAGCAAACTCCAGGAGTTGGTGATGGACAGGAAGGCCTGGCGTGCTGCAGTTCATGGAGTCGCAAAGAGTTGGACACAACTGAGCAACTGAACTGGACTGAACTGAGACACAACCTAGCATATGTGATTACCACTACCTTTAACATGTGAATCCTTATGAGACATTACCTTTGCAGACACATCTCCAGAAGGTCAAAAGCACGGGGAAGCTGGGGCGGGAGGGCGGGGGTGATACCCTCGCAGGTGATGTGCCCACGGTGAGATGGCCAGGCAAGTCATTCCTCGCCTTCCTCCTTGATCCCAGGAGCTGAAACAGATTTTAAGGCTTTGACTTTCAGAAAAAGAGTAAGATGGTAAGATTGACAACCTTTATTCAGGTTGTCTGAAGATACAAGCGAAGGTTCAGTACAAGGTTGTGGACTTGAGCAGTCCTGTCCCCCAGAGACTGTGACAGCTTATCTTGTCATCCCGACTGTGATGGACTTGGGTGCTGAGGGATGCGGCAAAGGGCAGGGCAGCGTCCAGGCCACGAGCGGGCGAGCTGATCCACGTGTGGGTGAGGGACAGTCAGAGTGGGTGAGGGTGGGCACATGTGGGTGAGGTGGGCCACGTGTGTGTGACAGCAGGTCACATGGGTGAGGGACAGTCAAGAGTGGGCAAGGGCGGGTCATGTGTGGGTGAGGATGGGCCACGTGTGGGTGAGGAAAGGCCAGTCACGAGTGGGTGAAGATAGGCCCTGTGTGGGTGAGGTTGATTCACGTGTGGGTGAGGGCAGGTCACATGTGGGTGAGGTTGATTCATGTGTGGGTGAAGACAGGTCACGTGTGGGTGAGGCGGGCCATGTGTGGGTGAAGACAGGTCACGTGTGGGTGAGGTGGGACATGTGTGGGTGAGGACAGGTCACATGTGGGTGAGGGCAGGTCACGTGTGGGTGAGGGCAGGTCACATGTGGGTGAGGTTGATTCATGTGTGGGTGAAGACAGGTCACGTGTGGGTGAGGCGGGCCATGTGTGGGTGAAGACAGGTCACGTGTGGGTGAGGTGGGACATGTGTGGGTGAGGACAGGTCACATGTGGGTGAGGGCAGGTCACGTGTGGGTGAGGGCAGGTCACATGTGGGTGAGGTTGATTCATGTGTGGGTGAAGACAGGTCACGTGTGGGTGAGGCAGGCCACATGTGGGTGAGGTGGGCCACGTGTGGGTGAGGGCAGGTCACATGTGGGTGAGGGCAGGTCGTGTGCAGGGGAGGCGGGCCACGTGTGGGTGAGGTGGGCCACAAGTGGGTGAGGACAGGTTACATGTGGGTGAGGGCAGGTCACGTGTGGGTGAGGCAGGCCACGTGTGGGTGAGGGACAGTCGCGTGTGGGTGAGGCAGGTCACATGTGGGTGAGGGCAGGTTGTGTGCAGGGGAGGCGGGCCAGTGTGGGTGAGGTGGGCCACGAGTGGGTGAGGACAGGTTACATGTGGGTGAGGGCAGGTCACGTGTGGGTGAGGCAGGCCACGTGTGGGTGAGGGACAGTCGCGTGTGGGTGAGGCAGGTCGTGTGCAGGGGGGGCGGGCCATGTGTGGGTGAGGCGGGCCACGTGTGGGTGAGGGCAGGTCATGTGCAGGGGGGCGGGCCACGTGTGGGCGAGGGTGGGCCGCACGTGGGCGAGGGTGGGCCACGTGGGTGGGGGCAGGTCGTGTGCAGGGGGGGCGGGCCACGTGTGGGTGAGGGCAGGTCGTGTGCAGGGGGGGCGGGCCACGTGTGGGTGAGGGCAGGTCGTGTGCAGGGGGGGCGGGCCACGTGTGGGTGAGGGCAGGTCGTGTGCAGGGGGGCGGGCCACGTGTGGGCGAGGGTGGGCCACGTGGGTGGGGGCAGGTCGTGTGCAGGGGAGGCGGGCCACGTGGGTGAGGGCAGGTCGTGTGCAGGGGGGCGGGCCACGTGTGGGCGAGGGTGGGCCGCACGTGGGCGAGGGTGGGCCACGTGGGTGGGGGCAGGTCGTGTGCAGGGGGCGGGCCACGTGTGGGCGAGGGTGGGCCGCACGTGGGCGAGGGTGGGCCACGTGGGTGAGGGCAGGTCGTGTGCAGGGGGGCGGGCCACGTGTGGGTGAGGGCAGGTCGTGTGCAGGGGGGCGGGCCACGTGTGGGTGAGGGCAGGTCGTGTGCAGGGGGTGGGCCACGTGTGGGTGAGGGCAGGTCGTGTGCAGGGGGGCGGGCCACGTGTGGGTGAGGGTGGGCCGCACGTGGGCGAGGGTGGGCCACGTGTGGGTGAGGGCAGGTCGTGTGCAGGGGGGCGGGCCACGTGTGGGTGAGGGTGGGCCACACGTGGGCGAGGGTGGGCCACGTGGGTGAGGGCAGGTCGTGTGCAGGGGGGGCGGGCCATGTGTGGGTGAGGCGGGCCACGTGTGGGTGAGGGCAGGTCGTGTGCAGGGGGGCGGGCCATGTGTGGGTGAGGGCAGGTCGTGTGCAGGGGGCGGGCCACGTATGGGCGAGCGTGGGCCGCACGTGGGCGAGGGTGGGCCACGTGGGTGAGGGCAGGTCGTGTGCAGGGGGGGCGGGCCATGTGTGGGTGAGGCGGGCCACGTGTGGGTGAGGGCAGGTCGTGTGCAGGGGGCGGGCCACGTGTGGGCGAGGGTGGGCCGCACGTGGGCGAGGGTGGGCCACGTGGGTGGGGGCAGGTCGTGTGCAGGGGGCGGGCCACGTGTGGGTGAGGGCAGGTCGTGTGCAGGGGGCGGGCCACGTGTGGGCGAGGGTGGGCCGCACGTGGGCGAGGGTGGGCCACGTGGGTGGGGGCAGACCCGCCACAGATGCATCCCCAGCGTGGTGTTGCTGCTTCTCCAGGGCGCTGCGGAGCTGACACACGTGGGGACAGGGACTGAGGGTCTGTGGCGGGCGGGGAGCATGGGCAAGGGTGAGGCACCGGCATCCTCACCTCACCGCTCTTCCTGGCGGGCACTTGGCCGTGGCCTGGTCATCCTGGAGTGCCACACCTCAGGGCTTCCACACCAGCCTCCTTCCGCCCCGTGTCCTTGTGGTGGTGGCCTGTGACCTCTTGGGGTGGTCACAGTTATGAGCTAGTGACTCCTGAGTCTGCAGACAGCATGGCCTGGGGCAACTCGGGCCAAGCCCTGGCTCTGGTGTTAGCACAGTGGCGGTCCCTGGGGGGTGTTCGCAAGCTCCTGCAAGTGCCCGGCCAGCACCTGAGGCCTCGGTGACATTGGTACAAGCCCTGGTGGGAGAAGCATCCAGACTTGAACCTAGGCCTCTGACCTCTGACCCCAGAGCCCAGCCTCCCCTACCCTAGGGGCTGGTCAGCCTGTGTAGTCAGCAGCAACTTGACGGGGAGTTCCAGCCCTCCTGTCCACGGGCACCTTGTGGCCAGCCGGAGCCGGGTCTGAGACCGTGTACTTGCCTCCCCACCCCCGGCAGGGACAGCCCCTCAGCAGCTGGGCCGATCCCCCCCCGAAACCGGGTCAGCAGCCCCATGTCCGGGGTCTATAGGGGGAGCCTGGGCAAGCTGCCTACTGTGCGTGGGCCCCATCGAGGCCTTGGAGTCATTTCCGGGGTGACTCTACCCCTGACCTCCGACCTCCAGTGTGTCGTGACATCCCCGAGATGGCCTGGTCCCTGACCTGACCTTTCCCAGGTGGCTCAGAGTTGCCGCTCCAGGGTCAGCAGGGAGGACATTCCCAGCTCAGGGCTCCGGGCCCCCGGTTCCGTGGGGCTTCCTCTGTGGGCTTAGGGCTCTGGGTGACAGATGATAGCAGATACGTCGTTGGGACAGAGTGTTTTGGTTTCGGGGTTTTCTGAATGGGCTGGGGCCGGGGAGCCCCACCCTGGAGGTTGGAGGGGAGGCTGGGCTCGCGGAAGGCCACTTCTGGGGTCTGGGCTCCACCATGTGGTGGCAACACCCTTCACCCTGGCCGCGACGTTGGGGCAGCCCCTCCCACGCTGGTTCGTGACTTCCCCTACTTGCAGTTGAAAGTGTTATAGAAAGAGAATTTTTTAGTTAATTTTAGTTAATTCTTTTCAAGTTAATTCAGCTAACTAAATTTCAGTTCATTAATTTTTTTAGTTTACTCTTCCCTGTCATCACGAAAGACACGACTCTTTTAGGTAGGTTAAGAGTGGATTTAATAAACTTGATTTTTACAGTTTAGGAGTTGTATTTTTTAAAGCCAATGTCCAGAATGCCTGAAATCCTAAGTCACATTTCTGGTGTCCATAGTCACATGTAGGAACAGTAAGTTATAGCAAGAATGGTGCGGTCCGCGAGGGCGAAGGAGCCCTCCCATGTCTTAGCTGTGCAGCGGCGGCCTTGTGGGCCCCACGTGAGCCCGTTTATCGTGGCCGCAAATCTGCCTGGCAGGGAAGAGGCCTGCTGGGGTCCTGATGGTGCGAGCCTGGCGCGGGGTGGTCTGGTGCGGAGCTGCCCCGGTGCTGGGTTCCGCTGGGCGAGGCGTCGGGGCCGCCCTGTGCCTAGGGGGCAACCTGGGCCCCTCTACTTCTGGATTGTCAGCTTGAACTCCACCTTCCCCTCGTAGGGGTCATGGGGGTTGTTGAAGGTCACGTGCTCTGCCAGGATCTTGCACACGACAACCACCTCCTTGTTCTTGGGGACATTGAGGAGCTTCGCGGCCACCAGTGGGTTGCTATAGTGGGGCTGAAGAGACTCCAGTTAGGGTCCCTCTGAGAGGGTGGCCGGGTGCTCGGCACGCAGAGGCAGTGCACTCACTGAGCTACAGATGTCTCCTGCTTAGAAATGAGGAGACCCGGCCCAGAGGGATGGGCCCGTGACAAATTCAACTTCAAACTATACCTGATAAAAATTAAACAACACAGAGGATAAAGCAAGAGCTTTGGGGGAAATGATTTTAAGTGGATATGCAGTTGTCTAAGGAGGCCCTTGGAAAGTAAAAGATGAGATTTCATGTCAATTTTGGGTGAGAATGTGAGCTTGGGAGACCCCCAGAGGTTAAGTGGTTAGGGTGGGCTAGGTACAGCCTGGCTTCCTCTCACAGGCAAGTCTCTGGCTGTCCCTTCACGAGTGGCGGCTGCTGTCGGGCCCTGGGGCCCACGTACCTGGGCCTTCTTCCCGTAGTAGGGAAAGTAGTGCAGGCTGTAGGAGGCACTGGGCGGGAAGTAGTCCACCTGCAGAGCCGGGGCATCCCGGTGCTGGTCCTGCGGGTGAGAGGCTGCTGCAGGGAAGGCCGGGCCTGGCGCATGCACGCGCTGCACGCGCGTGTGTGTCCGTGCCTGCTCTGCACGCGCGTGTGCGTCCGTGCCTGCTCTGCACGCCCGTGTGCCTCTGTGCCTGCTCTGCACGCCCGTGTGCATCCGTGCCTGCTCTGCACGCCCGTGTGCATCCGTGCCTGCTCTGCACGCGCGTGTGCCTCTGTGCCTGCTCTGCACGCCCGTGTGCATCCGTGCCTGCTCTGCACGCCCGTGTGCCTCTATGCTTGCTTTGCACATGTGTATCCGTGCATGTTCTGCATGTGTGTGTGCACATGTGCAAAGCAGGTGACTGCACGAGCAGTTGGCATGAACCAGATCTAGTCTGGTATCATCAACCAGGAATCCGTTCATGGTGTAACATGTTAGTTCATAAGACCCCGGTGACTTACCAAAGTCGTACCTTCCAGATTAAACCCTCTTAGGATAAAAGAGGTGACAGGGCTGAGTGTGTGGGGCTGGCAGCCCACGAGACGTGTGGCCCACCTGCTGAGACCAGGGCTGTGTCCGCCTGCTGCGGGGGCCACCCTCGTCCACTGTCAGGGTCTGCGCACAGCCCAATGGACCCCAATCCCGTCTGAGAGCAGGCAGGGGCAATTTGGTGTCCGTTAAAACCTCAAGTCAGCCTACACATGTGCAGTCAAGGAAGCTAAAAACAGAAAATTGGAACAGGACGCACCCCGCGGCCTGGGGGGCTCCACCAAAGTGTGCAGTCACCCTGGTGGGTTGTCCCTGCAGATGGCAAAGAGCTTGGGCCCAGGGCATAACTAGAAAGCAAGCTTTAGAAAATACTCAGTGAAGACAAGTTTAGTTTTATCCATGTTGTACTTTAAAACGCATTTGAGAAAAACTGGACTAAATTAATGGCGATTCTTGGCAGCATGTAAACTCACACTGTTAATCAACGGTGCTGGGGTTAATCAGCATCGTTTTGTAAATAAGCAAACAAAAGGATAAAAGAGGGTGGTGGAAGTGGGTTGGGTTTTCCAAATTGCCATAGACATCCTGAAGTCTGTTGGGGATACACTGTCTCAGATGCTTTTTTGAAGCAAAACAATCACAAGTGCTGGTTTTTCTTACTGGGTTTTCATCCCTACGATAAAAACCACTTAGCGTGAAGGTTCCTGCCATCCATGTACCTGGTTTATTAGGCGACCTCTGAGATGTTTTTAGGGGAAACCTGATCAGTGTTTCCCAAACAGGATGGCCGTGGCCTGTGGGTCACTCACCAGGAAGGCGCAGTCCACCCTGGGGGCCGTGCTGTTGCCGGGGAGAAACTTGACGATCTGCAAGGGAGCGGCTGTGAGTGTGGGGGGTGGGGAGGGACTGGGGGTCCTGCTCTGAGGACTCAACAGGTGTGCCCCTTCCTGCTCCAAGCCTGTGGTCTTGGCTGCTGGGTGGCAGAGCCGGATGGTCGGCAGAGCCCAAGCCACAGCCTCCACCTCCCGCACCTGTGCGGCTGGCCCCCTGCGCCTCCCCGCCCCCGCCTGGCTCCGCCTCTGAAAACCCCAGCCCCTGGGTCCCGCTGCTGGTGCCCAGGGCCCAGAGTAGCACCCGCCTCACTCACAGAGACCCCGGCCTTCCTGCTCTGCGTGCCCACCAGGGAACAGACCCTGGCTGGACCGGGCTAAGCGTAGAGCACAGGTCTATGGCCTCTTCCACCTCTCAGAGAGGAAGGTGAACAGCGTCACCCTGGCCAGACCCCGCACCCCCGGGTCCCTGTCCGTGCATCGTGGGCGGCCTCCAGAGGTCTGCCGGGTCCTCTCGGCCCATCCCTCAGCGCCTGGCCCCAGCAGTTCTCAGGCACCCTCCCCGTGCTGACCGCCTGGCTTTTCCCAGCCGTCCTGCGCACAGGACTGCCCTGGGCTCCACAGCTCGCCGGTCAAGCAGGTGGCGAGTCCGGGCGGCCGCTTCCTGGTGAGGGCTGCAGGCTCCCTAGCCAGCCTGGGGCCTGCAGGGATGGGGGGCGGGGGCCCTTCTCCCCTTTGACCCTACACTCACTCTGTTCATCTTGATAATGAAGCATGGCTTTCCCTCTGCAAAACCGAAGGTGGGGTCCGGCTGGCCGGAGCAATTCTGCAGCATGTCTGCTGTGAACTTGCAGGAGAACTTGGTGTGGTTCGGGGCCAGGAAGTGCTCCTGGAAGAAGTACCTCTCGGACGTGCAGTTGATGTTGTCCTCCTGGGCTGCGGGCGAGTAGTCTGGGGGGGGACACACCTGTGGTCCTGCCGGAGCAGCAGCCCATGCCCCACCCAGCTCCTTAGGAAAGGAGAGCGGAGACCGAGGCCTGGGTCACGCCTTACCTGCCAGGAAGAGCCGCAGCGCCTGTGTGAGCCCTGTCCAGCTCCTGTTGTCAGACACATTGTAGGCGATGTCCAGGCCTTTGTCCCCATAGGTGTCTGGCCTCAAGGTCACCCCTGGAGAGGACACAGTGCCTGGGGTTTGGTGTCTGGCCTCAAGGTCACCCCTGGAGAGGACACAGTGCCTGGGGTTTGGTGTCTGGCCTCAAGGTCACCCCTGGAGAGGACACAGTGCCTGGGGTTTGGTGTCTGGCCTCAAGGTCACCCCTGGAGAGGACACAGTGCCTGGGGTTTGGTGTCTGGCCTCAAGGTCACCCCTGGAGAGGACACAGTGCCTAGGGTTTGGCTGCATGCTTAGGCTGCGTGCTGTCCTGCTGGCCTGGCCCAGGGGTGGCAGCGCTCAGGATGATGGGACCCAGGACTTCGAAGGCCCCCGCCCTCTGCCAGTGCCCCCAGGAAGGCCCGGGGCTCTGCACAGTAGCCAGGGGGCTGATCAGTTGCATGATGCCTGGTTAGGCCCCCGGGCTCCCTCTGCAAGAGGCCCGCCCCTTACCCTGCCTGCCAGTCTGCGGGTTTGAGACAAACTCTATCATGGTGTGGTTTCAAGCGTGTAGTCTACTACATCCTGTTCTGAGATTGCATTGAGATCCTCCATGTCTGATCTGTTTGTTGATTCTAAAGATTGACCCCAGCTGTCACAAGGGTTTGTGGACAAAGCTCTGAGGGTGGTGGGCCCGCCCCCTCCAGGCACAGCCCAGCACCGCTGTTGGGTGGTCTTGGATTATTTTCTTCCTCGGGAAGCACGAAGGACGCAGGGGTGACAAACACTGAGTCGCTGGGCTGGAAAAGCTGAGCTTTCTTCAGCCCCCTTCCCGCCGCTGTTTTGCTGTCTGCCCTCAGCCTGGGTCAGCAGGCTGCATGCGGAGGTCTTGGTCCAGATGCTGTCCCCAGGCTTCAGAGGGGCTGCCCGCCTGTTCCCTGCCGGCGCGTCTCCCCAGCGCGTCCCCCTGTTTGGGCACCGCCTCAGCCCCATCACATGGGGAGTGGCCGCCCCCTTAGATGAGACTCCAGCCCTGGATCTGCTGGCCTCCTTTTGGCGAGGAGGCGAGGGTCCCCCGGGAGAGCGGCCTTGGTGTTGGACGCCCACCCCCGCCTCCTGGTCCTGTGGTGCCCGTGCCTCCACGTCCTCCCCAAGGGGTCGGCGGAGCTGGGCCCGCCGCCAGTTACCTGGTGACTTGAGCTGGTCCTGGTAGTCGGGTGTGTAGGGGTCGATGGTGCACATAAGCACGTAGATGCAGAGAGCAAAGATGCCCGTCATGACCACGTAGAAGGCCACGTAGTAGAGGCTGATCCACACTGCGGGCAGAGGCGGGCCAAGAGCTGGGTCACTGGGAGCGTGCATGCGCTCACCGTGTCACCTCTGGGTTGGCACTCCACCTGCTCCCGGAACATTCTCACCCCAATAACCCCGCGCCCCTTCACTTAAAACTCTTCTTAAAAATTACAGTTTTGGGAAACTAGCTTTAAACCGGCTGCTCTGAAATCCAGGGCTGAGCCTCTGGGGCCTGTCCTCAGCTGCCCCCCGCTCTCGAGTGCCCGGGGTCAAGGGTGTCAGGGCCTGGGCAGGCCTTTGGGGTTGGCCGGCGGGGTCGGGAGGCTGGGGGGGCTTTTTCTGGACCCCAGGACCGCTACCCCTCACAGCCACGGGGCGGCCCCTGCCCTCTCCCGGGGCCCCGGGACCGCTAGCCCCTCATAGCCGCGGGGCGGCCCCTGCCCTCCCCTGGGCCCCGCGCACGGACCCCAGCGGGACAGCGTGCGGCCCAGCATCTGCCCGGTGTCCGGGTTCCAGCAGTAGCGCTGGAACTCCTCCATCCGCTGCCCGCATGACTTCTTCTCCTGCAGCGCCGCCATCGCTGACCGCTGCTGCTAGGGTTGCGGGGAGACTGCGTGCCTGGCTTTTAAGGTCTCCTCCTCGGAGCCCAAGGGCACCGCGGCGCCCAGCCCAGGGAGGCCCCGGCAGGTGTTATCGGGCCTGCCTTAAGGTGCCCTCCGCCGCCTCCCCGGGCATGTTGGAGCAGCGCCTCCACTGCCAGCCCCCCCTCGTGTGTGCCCTTGCAGGAACTTTATCTGCTCTGATAACAAGGGAGCAAGGAGACCAGCAGGCGCTTGGGAGGGGCTGGCAGGAGAGCAGGTCAGCAAGGCCTGGACCCGGGGCCCAGCCGTAGCCGAGAGGCTTGAGCTGAAGGGGCAGGAGCCTGAGGTTGTGGCGAGCAACTGCAGGGGTCCCGGAGGGGCGGGAGCCGGGTTCTCCTGTCACTGTCACTGCTGCAGTGGGCTAGCCAAGCTCAGTGGTGCCCCGGGAGGCGGGCTGGGGGCTCAGGGGTCCCAATACTTGAGCGCAGGTTGGGTGACGACTCCCGTGCTGCCCTGAGAGCCACAGAGGGGTCCACCGCCCTGCAGGAGATGTGCTTTTCAGACTGAATGATGCCAGGCCCCGGGCGTGCTGTTCAAAGACAGGTTCTGACACACACAGGCCCGGTGGGCCCGGAGCTCCCAGGGGCCTCGCCTGTGGCTGCAGGACCGTGTCCGTGCCTGGGCAGCAGACACACCACCTGGAGCCACGTCCAAGTTGCCTGGGGAGCCTTGGTGGCCTCTGACACCAGTCCCACCCCCGAATTTCTGAGCTAGCTGACCTGCGGGTGGCCTGAGTGTCCGGACCACCCCCAGACCCCTGTAGTGTATGGTCGGAACCAAGAAGCCTTGGTGGTCTACATAGCCGGGGCTGTGACCTTTGCTCCCCGGGGAGCAGACATCGCTCAGGGATGTGACACCACCTCCACGATGAGGCAGAAGAAGTGACGCCAGGCACGGGTGATGGACCACAGGCCCCTCACGGACACCACGTCCGAACTGGCTGGGTTGACGGGGATCGCACAAAGCTCTAGCTGTCCATCCACTGTCCACTGTCACACTCACTCTGAGGGACCCACAGGGTCAAATCAGAAGGTTTCTTCCAGGGAAAAAATTACGAAAAACTCTCCAGTTATTATGCCATTTTCTTTAGGATGATTTAGAGTTTGTCAGCAAAATGATAAAAATTCATGTGGAAGTGTAGCGTTTTAGCTTGGACTCATGATTTCTTGGGTTTCTTAATGGGCAGATCCTAGGCGCTCTCCTTCACACTGTTCACATTCACAGCTTTGGCACTTCAGGGCTGTAGAAATGCAGAGTGTGGCCTCGGGCCTCGGTCGCACTGTCCACGCCCGTGGAGCCGGGGTCCTGAGCGAGGAGGCTCGAGGCGCGGGCAGCAACTGCTGGACACAGGCTCTGTGCCGCCCTGGCCTGGGAGTGCGGACGCTCCGGGGCTTTGTCTTGGGACTGAGCCTTCCACACTTAGACTCTGAATTCCCACAAGTGTGAACGTGTGTGCTGAGCCGCACACGTGTTAGCACAGCGACCTTCTTGGGACATGTGTCTGTGGCAGTGGTGGTGGTGGGGCACTGGGAGAGGGCAGCTTCCTGCCCAGCATGCCTGTGGGACCACTTGAGCAGAGGACCCCTGAGAAGGGTGCGCCCCGGACCATGTGGGGCTCAGCCCCGGTTCCCACCTGGGGGCCGTAAGGGGCGGGAGCCACCCCTCTCCCCTGCTGCCGAGGGGCCTGAGGAGCCAGCGGAAACCGAGGGCTGGACGATAGGAAGATGCCCGGGTGTCAGCGGGTGATCACTGATCAGAGAAAGACCCGGGCAGATCTCAAAAGGAATCAAGGCAGGAGAGTCAATACGTGTCAAGACTGGGGTGACAGAGGCTGGAATCATCGACAGGCAGTGAAGCTGCCACAGTGAAAATGCTTCAGTGAGCAGCTGTGAATGCGCTTGAAACAAATGGGAAAACAGAAATAGGAAGTTTAAGGAAAGAAACCAAAGATACAGAGAAGAACCAAGTGGAAATTTTAGATTTAAAAAATACAGAAGCCAGACTAAACAGCTCAAAGAAGGTATTCTTCAGCAGAGGGGAGGGGAGAGGGGGAAGAATCAGTGACATGGAAGGAAAAAAAAAAGAAGTTTCCAGGTTTGAACAAATAGAGAGAAACTAGAACCAGGAAAAATTGTGCAGAGCTTGGTGCCCAGCCGTGGTAAAGACTGATGCCCGAGTCATCGGGGTCCTGCAAGGGCAGAAGAAAGGGGGGCTGAGGAGGAAACCTTCAGACCGAAGAAGCTGAGAGAACCGCTAATAGGCACCCCCAACCCATGCCACGTTGCAATCAATCTTCTGGATATCAAAGACACACAAGACACTCTAGAAAGCAACTGCTGGAAACAGAAAGGGATTGCTTGGGTGTTAATCTGGTGAAACATGTACAGGACTTTCATACTGAAAACCACATAGTGACAATTGAGACAAAAACCTATGTAAATGGAGACACATATTGTGTTCACAGGTTGGAAGACTCTACACAGATGTCAACACTCCCCAAACTGATACAGTGTTTTAGCACAATTTCTATCAACATCCAAGCAAGATCTTTTTTTTGTATCTAGGGATAAGGCTACTCTAAAATTTATTTAGAAAGACCAAGGAACTAGAAAAGTTAAATACTTTATTTTTTATTTGGAATACTTAGGTTTTTGGAAAATATTTTAAAAATGAAAAATAAGGTAGGAAGACTTGGTCTACTCAATTTCAAGGCTCATGATATAAACACAGTCATCAAGACAGTGAGGGACAGAGGGACAGAGACCAATAAACACAACAGTAAACTCAGAAGTGGATTCACACACATGCGCCCACAGGTTTTGACAACAGTGCCAAAGAAGTTCACCGAAGCAAAGATGACCTTTTTAACACATGGAGCTGGAGCAACTGAATGTCCAATAACCCTGACCTAGCTAACAGCTTGCAAAAAAATTAACTCAAAATGGTCATGGATTTACATGTGAAAGTATAAAACTTTTAGAAAAAAAATTGTGAGAAAATCTTTAAGAACTAGGGTTAGACAGAGAGTTCGTAGACTTAACACCAAAATCACAATCTGTAAAAGAAAGAAACTGAAAAATTGGACTTCAAATACAACAGCAGGAAAGCAAGCAGTCCAGTTTGAATATGGTCAAAAGATGTGAAGAGATATTTCACCAAAGAGGATTCGTAGATGGGAAATAAACTCTTGGATAAATGTTCAACATAAGTGGCCAGTAAGGAAATGCAAATTACAACCACAATGGGGTACCACCTATCACAAGAGCTGAAATAAAGAATAGCGACAACTCCAAACGCTGGTGAGGATGCTGAGAAACTGGGTGACTCATGTGTTGCTGGTGGGAATGTAAAATAGTAGTTGTTGTTCAGTCGCTAAGTCCTGTCTGACTCTCTGCGACTCCCTGGACTGCCCCACACCAGGCTTCCCTGTCCTTCACTATCTCTTAGAGTTTGCTCAAACTCATGTCCATTGTGTTGGTGACGTTATCCAGCCATCTCATCCTATGCCATCTGGAGAAAAGTTTGCCAGTTTCTTAAAAAATTAAACATGCAAATATTGCAAGTACCACGTGACCCAACAACATTCTTGGGCATTAATCCCAGAGAAATTGAATTTTATATCTGCAAGGATATCTGTATGTTTATAGCAGCTTTATTTATGATAGCCCAAACTGGAATCAACCTAGATGTCCTTCAACAAGTGAATGATTAAGCTAGCCATGGTCCACCCACACCGTGGAATAGTACTCAGCAGTCCTACGGGTACGGGTAGCCACCTGCTTGCTTCCAGGGAGTCACGCTGAGTGAAAAGAGCCAGTCCCCAAAGTTGCATAACTTGTGACTCCACTCATGTGGACTTGTTGTTTCTCAGCTGCTGAATTGTGTCTTTCTCTTTGAGACCCCATGGACTGCAACGTAGAACATTCTTGAAATGGCAGCTTTATGGAGATGGAGACCAGCTGAGTGGTTTTCAGGGTTCAGGACGGTGTCAGGGAGGGAAGGGGGTGGTTGTCTATAAAAGGGGGCCATGTGATGTCAGGGGCCCTGAGTGCTGGCCGAGTCCACGTTGGTATACATGCTTCAACCCTGTGCTAAGTGGGGGAGATGCCGTCAGTGGGTGAGGGGGGGAGGGCATGGGGGTCTCTGCATTTCTTCTTATAACTGCACGTGAGTCTGCAGTCACTCTGAATAAAAGCTTTAATTTTGGAAAAGGGCCCGATGAGTTTGGGAAGCTCTGTGTACTTGACTCCTCTCAGAGCCGGGTTTGCTGTCCAGTCCCTAAGTCCTGTGATAAACACATTTAAGGAGGGAGCTCAGAGTTCATCCAGCGGGCTTCGCTGTCCTCAGACCCTGCCTCTCGGGCTGTGTCCTGACCTCAGGCCCAGGCCCACCAAAGCAGATCCTTCTTTCTCCAGGTGATCTGAGTGCCTGGCGCCACTGGGAGGCTCCGGCGCAGGACACAGAATGAGAAGCACTGAAGAAGGGACTCAGGCCCATGCATGTGCGGGGGCTGCTGCCCCATCCGATCCCTGGCGGGTTAAAGAAAAGGTAAGAAGGGGTTGAAGCGGTCAGCCCAAGGTCACCTGCCAGGAAGTGCCGGTGGATGTGCCAACCCTCCTTCTCTGTCACAAGTCCTCTTTTCTGCCTCCCCAGATGCTGCAGAGTCCGTCGTCTCTCCCACCCCTGCAGAGTCTCCCTGCCCTCTGGAGCCCTGTCCTTCCACTGTGAGTCCGGTTACCTGACATCTTCTCCTGGGGTGTTCTGTGTTTCTGTGGCCCTTCACTTCTCCCTTTAAACTGTCACCAACCCCCATCACATCCTTGGCATTCTTTTCCTTGCTGTAGGTACTGAGCACCTACTGCCTACTAGAACAAGACCAACAAGGCTGTACTGAGGTGAGCCCCAGGTGAGCCCAGGTGTGTCTCAGAGGAGCCCCA